CATTCCCAACTGAATGGAAAGTCATAAAATTCCATGGTTCCAGTCACCACCAACCAGATCATCATCATATTCCCATTGTTGTTGGTATTATACCCTATTAACCACCATTAATATCACTATTTTTCCCATCGAAAGTATCAAGGGCTTCTACCCCAGTGAAATCGAGCATGGAACATCTGGATTCCGCAGGCCGCGCGACCAGATCCCAGGCGAGTTATCTCCACATGGCGTTGCATGTGAACAGTTTGTTGGTGGACCCTGGGACATCCTGGGATCCTTTTGTTTGGCAAGAACAATGGTTGAAATTCTCTCTCCGTATTCTTGCTTGATTAAACAGTTTTTCTTGGTTGAATCAATTGGAATCCACGTAACTTTCACGCGCGACATCGACCTTTCCACATCTGAAGCCCCAAAATATTCCAGGTTTTCGCTGCACGGCCACGCCTGTGAGGCCGCCCACCGAAATGCCTTGGTCCTACAAGGGAATCCAAAAGGATATGAATGGGATATGAAACCATAGGATTCATAGGATATTAATGTCATATGTCTAAAATCCGATTGGATGGGAAAATGATATCCGATTAATAGACATATGATGAACATTGATGAACTATGACTGGCAAATAAACTAACAGTTTGCTATTGAACATGGCCAATTTAGTTCGTTGATTTACCCAATAAAGATGGTGATTTCCCATAGTCATGTAAACGTTGTCTGGAGGGTAACGTGTTTGTAGATGTAATCATATTTCATGTTCTGATCTATATGATGATATTTGATCTATAGTTTTAGCTATGACATGTATATACATGAAATACTCATAGATTTTGTCAGATTGCAAACGGTTTCCTTCAACATATTTTCTGATTTTGAATCTTGAACAGCACAATTACCATAAGTCTCAAGTGGCATTATTTGTCAAACTTCTTTGGAATCGTAAAACCCTTACTTTATTGTAGTAACTAAAAATATACACAAATACATCAGTTGGTGAAACCACAAATTCTTGTAGGTACTGTTGATGTAAACCCAATTGTGAACTACCCCCAAGGATTTCCACAAAAGTAGGTCTATGGCAGGTTTACCACATATCCATACATATCCCAATATCGCATTCATATCCTACTATGTCCCACTACATAATAATAATTATGCTATTAAATGTCCCATGAATATCCCATTCATACTACCCTCTGGTAAACTAACATAACTATGGAAATCACAATTTTCAATGTGTAAATCCACTGAAAATGGTCATTTTCAATAGCAAACTGTTAGTTTACCGGAGGGTATATTCCACTAATATCCCAGTCAATCCCACAATACGTTGCCACTTGGTCAACATTTGACGACACGACGCGCAGCTCCTGACATTCTCTTCGCAGCTCATGGAGAGGAAGTTCACGCCAAAGAGCCTCAATGAGGGATCCCCACGGTGTTCGTCTCACCTGACAACCATTAATTTGTGGTCTTTAATAATGGTTTAATGATGGGATAGTAATGGGACAAGGTTTAATATTGGTTAATAGTAAGGTTGGTAAAGCAATACAAAGCAATATTAATAAACCACCCATGTTTGACTTCATACCACCCAATTAAATATGGTCAAATTGGGGATGGTTTATTGTTGCTTTAGTAATTACTTTCTCTCTCCATGGCCCTTTCCGGTAGGTCACTGTCTTCTAAAGGTGAGCGCCAGTCCGACATCTGCCAGTATGCCCCAAGAAAACGTGCCCTTTTTGGAAAGGCTCGGTGTCCACTTCAAGCCCAAGGGTTTTGAACGTGGAGCCAAACGGCAAACACTTGTGACCCTCCTGGGCGTATTGCAATCCCAGAAGGTCAAACAGAGCCTGACTTCGAAAGTCCAGCCATCATCATTCTCTTCAGCATCGGGTGGCCCATTCGAAGGCAATGACAGCTTGGCCACGCCCAAGCTCATCAGCCCAGCTTTCCAAAACACAACATGGTGATGTTCAATTCAATTGCCAGGTGCAGTTCGGAGGGAATTCTGACTGGGAGGCACTTTCTCCCTGAGTAGGGCTGCACAAAGTGGCTTGGGGCCATAGGAAGTTTCATATATTTTAAACCATAATATATATGTTACATTACATGTTCATTGATAATGGGTAATCACTAGATTCATGGACTGTCCCTGGCTAATCGGGGTCGTTTCGTTTAACAGCTTTCTGGTTTCGTGTTGGAGTTGTGAAGAGCAAATTCAAACCGCCTTTCCTGACAGTCCAGCACTGGCCACCTGTGTTAAGCGAGAATGGACCGAAACAAGTTGAACTGCGTAAAATAATGGTTCTGGTTCTGGTCAAACTATGTCAAAAGTATGGCCAAGAATTCCCAAACTGACAACTACCCCGTTTTGAAGCCACGCCCAAGTGCCAAGGGCAGCACAACATTTCTCAACTGCTTCAGCATTTCCTGCGACAAGACGGGCTCAACTGAACAACAACCAGCAACTCGCCGCCTCGCTGAGGCCTTAAGGTCTGTGACAATCAGATCAATGGCTGTTGCCGCAAGGATACAGATCCAAACCAGTTGATCCTGCCCAAAGTCAAAAGAACATATACTGCGATGGGATTTTCACCTACCCACAAATAGCATTTATTTGATATCCCCCAAGCTGTACCCCCCCTTCCGTCCTGAAGCAGCGGGGTCTTGTTGTTGGCGTCTTTGGGGAGGCCTTAGGAACTGATCTGAGTGCCAGAAATGTCGGTATGGTCGCCCGGCAAAGTGGAACGATTTTAGCTCCTAGGTCACTAGGTCAATATTTGATCATCCAAAATGGAGGCACCAAGCGTCATGGGGTCAAAATTTAAGGCCAATGTTGACCATCCTGTTTTTTGGGTACCCCATTTGACCTCCACCTGTTGTTCCGGTCTGAATCAGTCCCTGGGTGGCTGCCACCCAAGTTGAAGAATTCACGCTGAACCAGCTGCTCGTCCTTTGAGTTGCCCTGGCTGGGAATGTGATGGCTGGAGGGCTGGATCTTCAAAAACAGCAAGGAATGGGATCCCCTTTCAACATCTTGTTTCTCGTTCTATCTTTCTTGGCATGTTTTCCCTTAGCCGAGCCTTCGGCTCACTTCAATCTTTGACGTGCTTGAAATCTTGAAAAGACTTCTTGACATGAGATGTGACGATCACAACTGTCGGTATCATTCAACGACCTCAAGAACAAACTTCGCGTGTTTGATCAAATCTAATCTTTCCGGGATGTCTTGGTTCAAGTGACACACTTGAACCCATGTCTCAGTACCTTGCTGCTGTAAGAATACGTTATACCCTCTGGTAAACGTTTACATAACTATAAAAAATCACAATTTTAATGGGTAAATCAACTATAAATGACCATTTTCAATAGCTGTGTTAAATTATCAGAGGGATTCAGAGGGTATATTGTTCAACCGGATTGATTTAAAACACTTCATCTTGATGAACTGCTCACCTTTAGAGGATTTCAGTAACACCTACGGTGCTTCGACCTGTTGGCTCTCTAGGTGAGAAGTCAATCGTCAATCCCCCCAAAAACACTAAATTGACCATGTGACTCTCCATGAATATATTCCAATCCAGAAATCTCTTCCGAAATGGGACATGGGAAGCTTAAGACCTTAAGTCCGAGAACCTTCTGATCTTTTCCCAAGCTGCAGCCTCGATACGTTGCATCTCCACAGCCAACCTGCCGCAGGAAAATGGCTGGGTGGAACTTGTTGAAATTGAAACTTGTTGAAACCTACTCAAACTTGAAGGGTTTTTATAAGAACGAACATTTACAGCAACCCAGGCACCATCAGGCACCTAAATCTGCGCAAATATCGCATTCATGGCACAAAAAAATGCCTTACTGTGGCAAATTGCCAGTGCCCTGAAGACTTGACAACAACCTTCACTGGGGCAGTCATTTTTTCTCGACGACGTGAGCCGCCCTGCAGTGTTTGCAAGGCAAAAGCATTGAAGTGGCAGGATGATCCTGTTGTGGCTTCGTTCATGCCCTTGTTGAAAGCTGTGCAGCACTGTACTGTGTTATTTGCAGTCGAGTATGTCGACCAAAAAAAAAATCATCGATCAATTACTTTGATGACAGAATGAACCCATCATGCCTCACCTGTCCTTCCAATGTCTAATTTAAATTGCCTTTTTGATAGGATCATCCACCCACCGGGCATTGCTAGAGTCATGACTCCTGGACAGGCCGTTTGAGGGCTCATCGATTGGGGTATGGCTTGTTTCCTCCGGAAATGCTGAAGCCCCAAGGATCATCAATGCTCTCCTTTTTTTCTGGAAGAGGTGGGCATTTTCCGCGTTTGGATTTACAGATTTTACAGAACTGGTTGTTGTTTTTTTTACTTGGCATGATTGATTAGTTCTTTCGGGATGGGTTATAACCACCAACCACCGCACGTAGGCCTGACTAAGCATGGTGAAGGCTCCATCTTGTCTCGCAGCAGTCCACATTTGGTCCTTTTGACGACTTATTTCCACCACCTGTTGGTGGCGTTATCGCCCACGGACATCAATGCCCGACCACCGTTGCAATATCTCTACACCTTGCCATGGAATCCCTCCAAACCGGTGCATTATGGTACATCATGGTCATCGATCATTTCTGGTTTAAACTTGTGCCAACTTTCTGTTGGCAAGCTCCTGTTGTGGTTTGACTGAGCAGTTGGTTGTATGTTGTAAAATACAGTACGGCAACCCCTAAAAACTAGAACAGTGTTTCCAAGATGCTATAAATCATGCGTCTCGTATATTTTCCAGGCTTCCAACTTTTCTCTCTTTGTGGGGGTTGCCATAACCATGGAAATGAGCAGAATGGGGTCATGCGGGGATGACCCTATAGGAAATACTGCACATTACTGCACCAAGCAGCACTATCTTAACGTCATGCCGAAAAAAAACGCCCCAAATGGCGCACAATGACCCGCTACATAAACATATTCTAGACGAGGGAACTTTAAGGGATGAAATTCACACATCAAACATGAGCAGAATCCAAAGAATTTCGCCCTCAAGCGGCTCACCCGATTCGGCCGATTCGGCCATGAATTGACGATTTTTGCAGCTACCCTTGACGTTCTCCCACTGCTGCAAATCGCAGCAATTTCCTCGGTCCCGGCGATGGCAACCCCAGAAATAGCCATTGTTGTTTCCCTCGATCCAAGAATCCTTACATAACAAGGCAGTTTCTGGTTGTTTTTGGGGTTCTGCCTTCGGAATCCCCAAAGTACAGTACTATATGTATAGTATACATATATGATTATGATATATATATATGATATGAGTATGTTTATCTTAAAAAGAAATATATATATATATATGTGCACATATATACAGTATGTAAGGGGCAACTGTATTTGTCAACAGTGGTTCTAAATATTCATAGGGCCGCATTCACTTGACAAATGCAGCCAAAACACTCAACAAACTCCTGGCGCAAAGCGCGCGTGAAGGTGAAGGACATTGAACACTGGGGCATGCACTGCATGCCTAGTCATTATAAGGATAAGTTGCGTACATACGTGTGTATATTATAAGTGTATGTATGTGTATGCACATATTATATATATACATATATATGTGGACTACGTTTGCAATTATAGTGTATGCCTGTTATTCTTGTATACAAGGTCCTTTCTTTTCCAAATGAAATACTGTTAGCCCCTCAGATGCGTTTTACCACAAGTTTGCATCATGATGTAAACCGTTCAAATTGACTAACAAGTGACGGCATGCAACGAATGTCTTTTCAACGTCTGGAAACTGATATCTTTTCCGTTTTGAACATCATTTTTGATGCACACAATATGCATCGGCAATCGGAATGACATGGTTGTTGTCGTCAACATAATCATTGTCATCAGCAACACCAACATCACCAACCCAGTGCATGTCAACCCTGGATTCATAAACCTTGAGCATAACCAAATATCAGATTGTTGACTAATGTTGGTTACACATCCCATCATATCCCAATTATATCCTCATTTGTACCCTCTGGTTATTTAACATAGCCATTGAAAATGGCACATCCATAGGTGACTTACCTAGTAAGAATGATGATTTTACATGTTACAATGTTAAATTACCAGAGGGTACAATAGGTGGAATCATCATTAATCACCATTAGTAACCATCATTAACCATTAACCATTATTCACCATCATTAATCTTGAGAACCACCAGCGCCGTCCAGGTCGCCCGTCCTCATAGGGTATGACCCTGCGCATCTCCCCTTTGGGAGAAGCGAAGGCTTGACTGACGACCTGTGCGCTGAAATCCATGGACTGCCAAAATCACTTGCGATTCTTTTCCTATGGATGCACTAATTATTGTGCATATATATATATATATATACGGATAATATAACCAAATTCTGTGCCTGAGGTATATTTGTATGCATAAACATAAGTACAAAGACACACACACACGTGGATATATATATATATATACTAGACTATATCATTGGTTTTCTATATTATATCGGATTATATCGAATTATATATATGCGCGATTATGCGCGCGTGTATGTGTGTGTTACAGTATGAAATAGTGAAGCAACATGTAAAACAATGTGCCTGATTTTGCCATCTTTGATCCACTTTGGAGCCTCGTACATCTTCAAACACGGAATTTGTTGCGTTTGTTGCGCGTGCCATTGATGGTGGGATCCCAGAGAAGTCTCCATTATCCAACCATACCGAAGCATACCCAAAATATAAACGACCATTTTTGTTGTTAAATCTACTTCTTGTTGGTTAAGTTGTGTTATTTTTCTTTGCAAGCACTAATGTATACCCTGAAAAAGTTGGTGATTTTTTTTGGTTAAATCATCAGAAATCATGGGTACTAAAAGGGTTTGGAGCAAGGCTATTTACCCAGTGGTCTCTCAAGGCTTTGTTTTTGTTTTTAACCCAGCCCGTTGGCGCAAAAGAAACCAGATGCAAGCGACCATCTTGCGAGTATTGTCGTCCAGTTGAGGGCACAACCTGGGCGTAATGGCGATGAGAGCCAGGGAACTTTCTACAAAGAAACATGGCGCAATTTCAATGGCCATGTCAGGAACCGATTGATTGGAGGTACCTACCATAAAAAGGCCTATTTTTCAGGCCTATGTAAGGAAATATCCCCATAAAATATGGCCTGAAAAATGGTACTAACGTACCTCCATCGGTTGGATCCTGAAATGGCCATTGATTGACAGCTTTTCACATTTTTTTTTCAATATTCTTAGATTTTATATAAGGCCTATATGAGGCCTATGTAAGGGAATATCCCTAGAAAATATGCACTTATATGGTACAGTACCTCCATTTTAGGATCCTGAAATTCCCATTGAGTAGTTGGATAACAATGGGATATTACAATAAGCTGGTTTACTAACTGCTTGAACCCATAATAATGGTCATTATCAGTAATGGGATAATAGGACTCCTGGATAAATATGTGATTCGGGACAATAAATGGGAAATGATGGGGTGATGATTGGTTAATCATGGGTATAAAATGGCTATAGAAAGCAGTATAATATAATGAACATATAATACAGCACTATAAGACAATAGAATACAATAGGTTATATGTTAAAGAACTATCAGGTATTGACGGTATTGAGCAAGAATTACATTACATTAAATTATATTACCCTTACTATTTGATTACAATAAAAGGCAATATTAGCTGATTCTGAGGTTCGGAAACTTCTGGTAGCTCCTTGGCTCCCCATTTCTAGTAGGGAATATGGATATGATGCAACAATAGCTCTTTCGCTCCCTCCCAACCACTGGGCAGTAATAGTAATTGTCCTATTATCAAATTAACATTGCTATATATTGCTATTACTAAGTATTAATTTGCTATTACGTATACCGTATGATCAATAGTAAGTTGGTAAAAATAAATATTACTAAATTATTAAACTGGTCTCATGTTGTAACACTGGCAGCCTTTGTAATAAACAATCCCTACATGGACCTTTAGATTGACGACTCCCGAATATTATTAATGTTAATATAAAATCCCGCTGAAATAGTGAAGAACAAGAAAATTCTATCTTCTTGGGGGTTACTATATACACGTACATATATATATATATAATCAAAACAATTTTGTCTGCGCCCACAATGCGGACAAATCTGCGATGCCACACTCCCGGCTTAGCCTATAGTAGACCCAGCCTCGCATGCACTAGAACGACCTAACTCAGGAGAAGAAGGGAGAGAAGGCCATCCAACTCCGTATTGTACATGGTTAAACTGGTTCACCCAGAAAATTGGCCCCTTCCGCCTTCGCCGCTGCAGGTCCCAGGTGCCGTTTCAGGATCTCCTGCAGCTGTTCCATGGCTAAGCCGCCAGCATTGTCGGCGTCCCAGAGGCTGAAGGAACGACGCATCTCCTGCCGAGGCGGTTTTTTCATGGGACTTGGTGGGATTTAACGGAGCTGAATTAGCGGGATTTAATGGGAAGTTAAGTACAATAGATATAACACTCTAAACAAATATGGCTGGCTGGGAAATCCCCGAACTGAATGGGCATTTTAATGTGAACATCATCGAACTACATGGGTGATTTTCAAGTATGCAATTTTCGATGTTTAAAAAAACACAAACATATATATATATAACTACTATTTTTATTACTATTATTATTGTATGTATATACACAAAGGTATACAAGTGCACAAGCATAGTATATAAGATAGGAAAATGTGACCAGTCACCCAGCCATGTTGAACAAAATCCATGTCTTGGTGTAGGCATGAAGACCTGCCATTGCCCCAAGGCAACTTAGTTTCCTGCAAGTCATGGATGCTCTTGGCCCAATTACATGGGATGGGTCCAACAATATGTTGTATATATCATATCTAAATCTAATTCTAGATTCTATATCTATCTAATATATATCTATATATTTTTATACATACATGTATATATCATATCTGATTCTATATCATATATCTACCATCTGGTTATTTAATATAGCCATGGAAAATCGCCCATTTATAGATGATTTTCCCAGCTATAAACTTCCACTTATAAGGGATTTTCCATGGCTATGTTGAATAACCAGATGGTAAATATCTTTTTGCATATGTTTTGGAGCGACTCGTGGCATCATTTTCACTAAAGTTTCAGTCAGGCTCGCCTCTCCCAAACGCTCAGGGCCAAGGCTGACCTGACACATCGATAGATCCCCTGATCACATGGGATTTTAACTTTAAAAAAACATCAAGAAATCTGACTTAATGTGGTTAAAACAATGTCATAAACGCACCATCCCCCAGGACAATCACCATGTTTATAGGTGTTATATAAATATATATATATATAAACCATGCCCAGGAAAATGGGTGGTTTATTATTGTTTTAAGCACATTAATCATAAACACATGTGATTTATTAATGGGATTGAACAGCCAAACAAAATATGTATATCAATGGGGATTGGGTGGTCTTTGAGAGAGGTGCTGTAGTCGAACCTGCCAATGGATTAAACAACATATTTTAAAGATGTAGATTGATGTAGATCTCCTACGTAAGTCCACGCACACACACATTTCCCTGTTCAATTGCAAAAGGGTACATGTCAAGCATGCATGTATTTCTTGCCCATCCTAAAGAACGCACCCCAAGAGGAAACTATGGAAACGAACTTGCAGAGGTTCTTCCTCGTTGCAGCTGTGCAGGTATGCAAAACTTAAGCTTAAGCATCATGAATGTAAACATATGACACCCTCAAATACCAACACAGTTGGAGAATGGTTCCTTACAAAATAACAATCCCCTTTTGAAACCAATCCACTTAAACTCATCTTAGACTTGATGTCCTTGTTTCAGCCGAAACAATATTACATCAAGGGCAATCCTTACCCTCTGGCATTCAAACATGGCAATTGAAAATCACCAACTTATAGAATATTTTCCTGACAAAGCCCTCATGTATGAGGGGTTTCCAGGTTGCCATGTTTGATTACCAGAAGGTAACTAATATTGTTAACCATGCTTAGCCAATGGTTATCCCATCATTTAACCATTGTACACTATGATGAACCATTACTAAACCATCAATGTGGCGGTAATTGGGTTTACCACAGTACTAATCATTAACCAACTGCTATATTAACAAGCTAGTTGACTAATATTACTTGTTTATAATTCTTTATATATACAAATGTATAAATAGAAAATAAATGTATACATATATATATATCTATATATATGAATAATGTAACCATCACTCACCAAAAAGTACGTTCTTCTTCTGCTGCAATCTGTCGTCCAAGTCTCCACCACCATCATAAACAGCAACGGCGTCTCCATGCGCTTGTCCTCCTCCTACATCAGGCGTTGGTCGAGCCGATGGAGTCGTGCACGTGGGGATTGCTCATATGGGGTTGGTCCAGCTGCCGGGCTTCTACGGAACGCGGAGTTCTAGGGAAACTTATGGATTTTTAATGGTGATTTGGTGGGTTCCATAAATGGGGATACCCCAATAGCTGGATGGTTTATAATGGAAAAACCATCTATACTTCTATACATGGATGATTTGGGGGTACCACCATTTTAGGAAACCTTCATATAGCAACTGCCAAAAACGTTATATAGACAAGTGAAATCCTACAAAAATAGTGAGATAATGTGAGCAAAATAGATCAAAACTGCTATGAGCAAGGCAAGAATGTGGACGTTCAGAAACATAGCTGGGAACTTCTACGGGGTCAATTAAAACGGTTGGACATTAAATGCAGCCAGTATTAATACCCTCCGCTACTCAAACATGGCAATAGAAAATTAACCATTTACCCTCTGGTAAACTAACATGACTATTTATGGAAAATCACCATTTTTAGTAGGTAAATCAACTATAAATGGCCATGTTCAATAGCCATGTAAACGTTTACCAAAGGGTAAAGAATATGTTCCCATTCAAACCGCTACAGGGGATTTCGCACATTGCCATGTTTGATTACCGACATTGGTAGTAGCTCCTCGCCACAGAGGGGCATCAGCAGTTCTTGACCTCGGGAGTTTGGGCGTCAGCTGCGACCTTGTCCCGGTGTTTGGGCCCAAAAGAATATATATTAAAATTATGCGTCCGTAAACACAACATGCAACCTTGCATGACATCGGATGCTGTCATTAAACAAATCAACTGTCGTCTGTCGTTTCAATACGTACCAATATAGAGTAATATATTACCCCTTTGCTATTGAAAATGGCCCAAAGAAATAGTCGATTTACCGAACTTGGAGATGTTGATTTTCCAGTTCGCAAACTGTAAATGTTTACCAGAGGGCAATATCATTCAATAGCATTACTCTGCTTTGGATGGTTGAAACATGTTGAAACCCTATAATTAATGGCATAAACCATCTATCAACTGTGATCTTTACAGACTTCTCTGGAGCCACAAATTGTCACAAACACCAACTGATCTGCAGCTGAAGCACCTTCCGGACAGCCTGAGTTCGGTTTTGCCCAGCTATAGAAGAAACATCTGGGTAGCGCCTGTTCCATCTGGAGCCATGTCACATTCCCAGTATATTCCATATATATTTATCTCTCTCTCCATCGCCATCTCAGGAGATCAGCAATCCAGTTATTGATATAATATTCCAATTATTTATTGATATACTAATTATCGAACAAATTGATACAATATAATATCACGTCCCAATATCATTGCATTGTCCTCCAAATGTCGCATATTCGATCCGTGCGATTTCATACATATCCTGTATCTTGTTATATATCCCCATATCATATGTCCAACAGTATTTGGAGGGATATGAATAAACTAAGAGTATTTCCCTATTAGCCGTTATTAATACACACATATGAGCATAGCAGAGCATAACTTTTGAAAATCGGGGAGTTAAAAACTAATCTTCAACCACGGATCTCCCCACGACATCCAGTACCCATCTTATATCTCCACTATATACTGGTTGGTGGTATCCCTACCCCTCTGAAAAATATGAGTTCGTCAGTTGGGATGATGATTATTCCCAATATATGGAAAAATAAAATTCATGTTCCAAACCACCAACCAGGACCAATTTCTTTGATAGTTAAGTCCGATTCTAGGACGGTTAAATCCTATACCATCTATAACACCATTTCTCCTTATTGTTTATCATTATATACTTGTAAAATACTGTAAGCACACGCACACACACATGTATATATATATACATCTATTGAAACTATTGTTGTATACCAATTGTAGTTATATAAATCCCGAACAGCAATGACAAAACATGGATATTCCCCATCTTCAAACACTCTTTATGGAGAGATGACAGTCCAAGCGTCGCTTGCTCAACAGCTTCAGCGTTGAGGCTGCATCCTGCCACGCTGGCGCTGGGGCAGTTTCAAGGGCCCAGCCGTGCTGAAGCAGCAGCTCCGGCAAACCTCGGATCTAGAAGGGTGAAAGATGGAGTTTCTGTAGTATCTGTAGTAATGGCGATTCAGCTGGTTATCATACGATTTAAATACTGTGACTTTACTTGATCTATATGCAAGTAGAATGGTGAGACCAGCAAGAAAAGATATTTGAACATCAGAATTTAGAATTCACTGGTGACTAGTGTCAACGCTTTCCAAACCCGCGCTGAATCGCTTTGATTAATTAGCGTGATTGCCCTGAGAATTTGGTACTAACATGTACTAACATGGTACCCCAACCATTAAACAGAGATGGGCTGAGATGGGGGTTATTCTGGGTTGTTGGTATGGAGTTGACATCAGCTTTCATCATCAAACATGAGGATAAACAGGGGTTGGTAAATATCCTACTTGAACATCATCCAACTATTGGGGATAATCTCCACCAAATACTTGAAAGTAATGTTCACAATCCCTCACGCAGGATTGTAATTTATTACAATTTACTAACCCCTGATAGAAGAACCCCTAAATAGGCAAGTTCCTCTATATCATAAGTCATAAGATCATCTTTCAAACTCCACTTGCCATGGCGATGTTATGCCAAATTTTTGCCCCATGGTTGATTGACGTGGCCCAATTTACCATGGCACAATTCATGATTATGAAACACTCATTTTCTCCTGTTTCTGGACCATAACAAAACCGCACCGGTTGTTGGCCAGAACATTTTAAGAGTATTGTGCCAGCACTTTTCATTTCAATCCAAACATACTTGGGTCACTTCGGTTCTTCTTAAAATATCAATGGAAATTTCAAGATCCTAAAATGGAGGTACTGTACCATATAACACCTATTTTGTGGGGACATCCCCTTACATAGCCCTGAAAAATAGGACTTATATACGGTAGGTACCTCCAATAAATCGGTTTCTGTTGCATGGCCATTGAAGTAATGGGATAACAATGGGATATTACAATAACATACAATAACCTGGTTTACTAACTGCTTGAAGCCATAAGAATGGTCATTATTAGTCATGGGATAATAGGACTCCTGGATAATCATGGGATTCGGTTTACTATGGGTTTATTATTTCTCTCTCTGAAAATTTCGGTTTACTATGGGTTTACTATGGGTTTATTATTTCTCTCTCTGAAAATTTCGGTTTACTATGGGTTTACTATGGGTTTACTATGGGATTCATTAAACTATTACTATGGATAACCCTAAAAAATAGGCCATTGAAAATCGTCTGTTAAAACTTTGAAACTGCCATCCCTCGGGCCTCGGCCGTTTCGAGGCGGCAACTCCTTGTAGTTCCTTAGGCAAGGTGCTACACTCGTTAGCTCAGCTGGATAACCAGTTATAACATCAAAAACGGGGGGAGAGGGGTAGATATATGTATAGATATATGTGGATAGTTGTAGATATATATATAGATATAAGTGGATAGTTGTAGATATATGTAGATGTAGTGGGGCATACTATAACCCAACTTACAACTGCGGTGCACTGCAGTTACTTGGGACTGATACTTGGCAATGTGGGTTGGTTTATAGGACACGTTTCTCCTAAAGGGATTCTCATATCTCAGAATTGATTGAGGGATAATTTACAATGGTTTGAATCAAACATTTTCTTCCGAAAATCAATCCATTGATCGTCATCATCGATTGATGCAAGAGCAGAACTAAGCCGAATTAACCATATATTAGCCACTTGGTTACCCTCTGGTAAACTAACATAGCTATAGAAAATCACCATGCTATGAAAATGGGTAAATCGGTAAATCCACTATTTCGACTGGGCCATGTCACCATGTTCAATAGCAAACTGTTGACATAACCAGAGGATATGGGTGGAACTCCTGGTACCCTAAAAACAGCGTGCAACAGATACTTCTTCTTCCAGTCATCTGGTCCAACCACCGACCTCGGACGCGACGACCTCGCCGTGCAAAACAAGCGTCGCTTCGATCATCACAAAGGCACGACAGGCTGCAGTGGCTCGGATCCGCAAGCTCAAGCCCGGCCTTCGAAAAAGGACTCGGGTTGGGTAAGGGCGCGGGCAAAGGACCCGGGAAGGCCCACAACCAGAAGATTTTAGCGATTTCTAATGCTCAACTTGCAGGTTTGAACCCAAAAAAATGGTTTCCGGTTGGTAATTCCATTCTTCCCTTCTGGGGGCTAGACTTATGTCATGTTTTTCTGGAACGTTTTGAGCTTTCCTGACGAACTTTGCTGTCTGTTGTTGTTTAGAATGGGAATGCCTCAAGCTCGGGGTGCCAATAGTAAACCATCCAAGTCTGACCTGGATGAATTCAACACAACAAAAAGATAAAACACAAGTTTAGCACTAATTCAATTTGTGGCATGTTTACTTTACTAACCTTTTTGGTGGTTGCTATATGTGCCATGGCCAAAGCACGTGTATGGCTTATGGTCCCACTACTAGGAGTTGCTCATTGGGGGTAGAATGGCATGTAAATCTGCAAAGACATGGAACTGGTTAAAGATTCCAGATATGTATATATCTAGGTATGTATATATAATTATATATACTGTTTCATATGTTTATATACTTTATATATCACACAAATCCCAGCGATTTGAAGAACACCGACTGAGTCGCCTCGTGAGGATCTCATGGGGCCCGCGGAACTGGAGACCGCCCTTCATGCACCTAGGTGGTGGAGAAAGCTGTGGGGAAGCTTGGAGCCTCCAGGTGTATCAAATTGAAATGCTTATCCCGGTTATCTGGTTTAGACGTGACATGATTTGACTGTTTGTGATGGCTTTGTATGTGTAATTTCACTTTTGCTGGATTGTTTTGGGACGTTGTGAAGTCATTTTGGGGTACAAATCCTCCATGTTCACCTATATACCTACAAAGTAGGGACCTCTTAGTGTATCATCATCGAATGTTCTGATGTCACCATGAACAAGCATGACCCCAATTGGTACGGTAAATGTAGAAATACTCTAACTGAACATCCCAGGACCGCCAACGAAGTGGGCATTTGGGCACTGTGTTTTTGCTTAATGATGGCTTTAACCTATCATTAAAGGAGCCAAAACTCAAATTGGGCACGTCAGCTTTACGTTTCACAAACACCAGTTGAAACCAAAAACCTTGATGATTTTCCAATGCATTCCTTTCTTGTTGATAGATGTATGTAGATGTTGATCTACCACCTAGATTCCTAGCATAAATCCCACAATTTTCCTAAGTTTTTTTCCCATCCACTTTTTGTGCTAACCATTAGCTGCCTCAATCCCCAGCCACCACAACGGCGACGGCATCGACACAGCTTCTTCCGAACGGGTTCCACCGAGGTGCTCTGGGATCCATGCTAAGCGATTCTGTCGATCCGTCCAGGCTAAGCCGGTCTCTTTGACCTCTGAGGGTCAGCTGAGGGTCTGCCAATTTCAAGGAAACACACATGACAAATACAAAGGTTTCTTTATGGATACTGTAGATCTGAAGATTTGTGTGAGCTGCCAATCCCTATATGGATTAGACTGGTTCTGACCAAACATTTTCTGATCATAGTACAGATCAATGGATTGGTTTAAGGGAAATCTTCGCCGGAAACCATGGTTTTTACTACCATGAAATTGGTTGGGGTTTCCGGTTAAAATTTTCCCACCATCCAATTCTATGATACAAAGGTTCAAGAGGAAACTATAGATCTATAGGAAGATCATCTGAAAAGGGATGATTTTTCTATTACCATCTTTGATTTCAAGGGAAACTGGGAATCTGTGTGGTGAACAATTGTTTCAATGCATGAATTCGACAATCGCAAAATGCCCACTCTTGTCTGTATTGCACGTACCACCTTTGTGCCAAAAACACTTCCACAAACGACAGTGAAACTGCTCAAACAAGGCTTACCGAGTAGGCTTCAGAGAAATTACTGTATTGGGGGATTACTTGTAACAAACATCTCTAAATGGGGCTCTAGGTGTATAGAGCCAAAACCAAAACATGCATAGAGTAAACAATTTCCGGGAGATAAACCAAACATAGCTTTTCGTGGGTGGTTTCAACCCTGTAAAGAAAGCAGTACAATGGTAATACAATCAATTATATCAAATTACAATATATCTTCTCAAAAACAGGGAGATCAGTCACTCATAATTATCCACTGGTTGGTGGTTGAAATGGATTCAACCAACCCGACAAAAATTAGCGTCACCACCAAATTATGCGCTTTCACCCGGCAAAAATCATGACCCGTGTCCTTCGGGTGTTTAGATTGGCGGAACCTCCTTCTTATTTGGAGAGTAGCCTTTATGGGGCTGATAGAAACAACCCCTGATGATCTTATTAAGCATGTTTCAGCTTGATAAATTCTAGGGGTCTTGGGGCCAGATTGCTTTCACACATATAGTGTAGACATGTACAATTAATTACATATATCATCATATATCCATATTTTCATGTTTTTGTGCATGTATGTATACACATGCCTCAATAGTTATAATCAACCGATAAAACCAATTAAAAAAACATCGAACGCATATACATATGCATTTTACATGTCTATATATTTATCATTATTTATCTATTTATTTAATGTATGTATGTATATAAATAAATATATCTTATGTACGTATTGAATCCCTCTACAGATCCCAACCCTGCTCCGCTCGCTCCGCTCGCTCCGCTCCCGCTATGCCTGGTTTCTGGCCAGTTCCAAGCCATTGTTGCACTCCACCGAGGCGTCCTTGGCTCAGGGTCATGCTGTATGATCATCAGAAAATTCTTGTTCAGAATCAGTCTAATCCATATGGGGATTGGCAGCTCACACAAGCTGGTTGTCTTTCCGGCACAAGACCTTGTGCGATGTCAGAATCAGTCTAATCCAGATTAAATTAGCATATGTAGCAAATCATCATTATGATTATGGGTTCTCAATATTCTGGATGTGTGACCTCTCTGACTGTGATGATGATGCCGCCATGGATCAAAGGCCTCTTCGTCCACCTTGACCACAAGACCAAGCACCTGGCGATCCGCTTGGGGCTCCCGAAAATCACCATCGAATCCCAGGGTGTTGCTGATGATATCCATTGCGCTTAGTCAATGCAGGAGGCAGGCAACAAACCATGAAGTTCCTCAAAAATCACAGTCAAAATTGCCAACAAACCAGTGATAATTCACAAATCTTTCTTTCCCGTTGTATAAGCAAATAGATCCATTTCTCCCCCTCCCCGGTCCCAAAATATCATGGAAATATCATGGGAATAACATGAACATTCCAATGAAATAAATAAGCCACTCGTTTCGTGTCGCCTCCGTCTCCTCCACCGCGGTGCCATCACTTGTGCCAGGCACCCCCAGCAGCTCACGCGGCAAGACGCGCTTGGCGACCACGGCCAAGCGCGCCTTGAGGCCCTCCTGGCACCCCGGACTGGTAAACTCTGTTGGAGTGGGGCATGGCAGGTATGGTGACCTACAGTGTACATCTATAACTCTCTCTCTCCCTCACTCTCGCTGTATATGTTATGACATTTCATGACATTTGTGTATGACATATCTATACATATGCACTATAAATATGTTATGGCATGTATACATTTATACTATACATTTACCCTATGGCAATCAAACGTGGCAATGGACAATCCTCCAGTTGTAAGTGTTTATACAGACTCTCCCAGTCAAATCCTATAGGATGTTCAATCGCCATGTGAGATCACCAAAGGATATATTATGGCTATATCTGAATAGATCCTCGCAGGCACTTTGCTGGCTCTGGAGGTTAATGGTCCAGTGGTTGCCCCCCAGAAAAAGTCTGCAACTGGGCCATTTGGAATTCATTTTGACGCCATCAGGTCCGGTTTTTATCCCCAGATTGACCTAAAGCTGTAGTGTAAATGTAATTGTCAGTGTTGTGTGCTGTAATTAGTCAAGTAGTTAAATCGCTGAAGCGTTGTTCTTGGCCCACAAGGATATTAAGTTGATAATTGTTGGAATTCCTCTCTGTCAGCAGCCCCATGTGAGTAAGTACTTGATTTTCTAGGCAAAGTGCACACACGCCACTGGACTCGAACCAATTGTGATAATCTCTTCCAAGTTTGCCATCATGTATGCCTTGCAATTCATGATAATCATGCTTTCCTTTTACGATCATCTGCTGGAAGTCATGTTTGCTGAAAAAACGTTCTGAAAACATTTAAAAACCCAACATATCCGCGCAAGAAAAGGGGAATATTTTCGACCCTCCGAAATTGGAGCTTGTGCAGCTGCCATGGCATTGGATTTACCAAGTTGGTGTGGACAAAAAAATATATACCCTCTGGTAAACTAACAGTTTGCTATTGAAAATGGCAATTTATAGTCTTATAGTCGAATTTTCCAATAAAAATGGTGATTTTCCATAGTTATCTTAGTTTACCAGAGGGTACCATAATTATCCAAAATTAACGTGGCACACCCACAAATAAACCATCGCGTTAACCAACCACCCGGGAATGATTTTACATCATCCTAGTCATAGGGCTATACCCAATGTCATAAACCTCTATTGGGGACGGTTTATTCATGGGTTTGCCAAGATGACCACCATATGAAGAAACATCCCATATGGTTTATTATTATCCCATAAATATCAATATTATTCATGATCACATTCCATTGTCATTGGCTTTGCCAAATTACCAGCATTATTAACCAGTTATTAGTCCATCATTAACACTTTTTGAACAATTATTAACAATTATTAACTATGACAATGATTAACCATTATTGTCAGAATTATCAACCATTGTTAACCATGATTGTTTATGATGGGTTTACATCCTCCTTGCCATTCCCTGGGTGGGGTTGGGGGGCCCCATTTTGTAGTGAACCAACCCCTGTCTCTACAAAATGGCTCTGGTACAGGGTCTCCATCCTACAAAATGGTCGGTCTATAACCCATGGCTCTACAAAATGGTAGTGCCTGTCACCTGTTTTGATCCACAAATATTTTGACAATTTAGTCAAAAAAATGATCAAACCAGTGCATTCATGATTTTATAAAACATATAAAAATCCCAGAGCCATTTTGTAGAGCCTCTATCTTGGCAAGACCTCAGCGTCAACTGCCTTTTTCCCAGTGCCATTTTGTAGGGTTTTTACCCTCTAGTCGTCTTCACTCCTCCTTTTCGGAGATGGATCCATTTTTTTTCATGCAACTTTTGCAGCATGGATATTTTTCTATTTTTTTGCCAACAATGTGCTGGCAATCCTTCTGAAGATGGATTTTTTTTCCGGTTCCAGTATGTTCCGGTCACAAAAACGGTTCCAAAATGTTCCAAAGCAAAAACGAAGATCAGGAGAAGAATGCTATGTTGACACAGATCTTCCAGGGAACAATCGGTATCGAAGTTTGGATAAGGCTGAAGAATCTGACAAGATCCAGAAGGAACAAATTCAATCACAATTTTTGGCCACTGCTCTTTTCAACGCAATCATAAAAATATGGTCTATCTTCAGACCTACACCAGTCTACAAAATGGTTGACTCTAGGTTGCAGGCCTAACCATTTTCTAGAAAAAACATACCCCATGGATCCCCATGGGTTATACACAGACTAATTTGTAGGATGGAGACTGTGTACTGGAGCCATTTTGCAGAGAAAAGGGGTGGTTCACTACAAAATGCTCCTCCCCCCCAACCTCACCCATGAAATGGCAAGAGGGATTTTGAAAGTATTTGGGATCTAGGGGTTTCTTGTCATATGTTCCATCAGGTTGTCGTCGTGTGGATGTTGTGGGTGGTGTGGTGCATGGTCAAGCATTTTTCCCCAGGTGCATGCTGTCGGTGTCACAATGCGTTTTGCATTTCTAAACACATAAATATCCTAAAGTGTATATGAGCCAACCATTGCAAACACAAATATACACTTACAAAATGGTACATTTATTGAAACGATGGGTTCTCTACAGAATGGCTAGCTGATTTTTCTTTGTCAATAACTAATTCACATTTTTCTAAACCACCAAATCATACCCTTAAAAACATCTACAAAATGGCTTTTTGTTTGTTACAAAATGGTTGGTCTTGGGGCCCAAAAATGACCATGCCTTCAAAACAAAAATGATAAAACCAGGTAAAACCCACAAATTACTACAAAATGGTATGTCCGACCCCATTTAAGGCCACCAATTCCCATAAAATGGTCGAAAATAGGCACCCCAACCCCCCCCATTCTGTAGAGGAAATGGCAAGGAGGATGGGTTTACCACATTGTTGCTGGTTCAACCCCCATGTTACCATCCAATCATATCCAACCCTCCCTTCCAGCGCCTCAGGCTGCCACAAAGGTGCTTCGTCTCGGGCTTCCCAACCATTGCCCCACCTGCGTCGCATTGGTCTCGGAGGGCTCCAGTTTTTGTGTTTTTTCACTCGTCTAAGTACCATTTGGTTATGACTAACAGTTCGCCATGGTTTTTCGATGGCCCTAATCGAAATAGATGGTAAACACCGTTCTAAATAGCATGGTGGATCTTTCTATGGCTACGTTAAATACCCAGAGGGTAGGAGTTATTTTGGCATGTATCTGCAGTTGATTACAGTTGATAGTTGGATGAACGGATGAGGTAAGCCAACGAAAAAATGGGGAAGCTCCAATGGAGTGTTGATAAAAACCTTAATGTGCAAACAACAGCAACCAATTCTGTATAGATGGTTTTTTTCCACCCCCCAAATCCGCCAGCGCGCGTCAGAAACGATAGGTCTTTGCCATGCGTCAGGGGGGCAGGCGACTGGGTGAGGGGGGGGTCCTCCCAGCGGGTTTCGGCGAGGAGCTGGGGGAGGGGGGGTGGACCTTCCATAGCATCTTCGCCATGGGCGGGAAACTCACTAATGATCTATGACTGGGAAACATCATCCTCCCAAACATCACATAAAGTATTGCAGTTGCCAATGAAATCATGTGAAATCATATTGGAAAACAATTTGGAATTCATCATCTAGTATCATTAAACACAAAGTCATTGTTGGCATAGAATGCCATAGAACCAGCCCCATCTCTATTCTCCTTCTCTCTCTCTCTCTCTCTCCCTCCCTCCCTCCCTCCCTCTCTACATTTCTATCTCGGAGTCATTCAACGACAAGTTCAGTTTTCTCTAAGCTTCCTCCTTGTATCCACCTATGTCCACGCATCCGCAAATGATGTTCCAAATACGCATTGGGATTCGGCATTTCTCTTTGGGAACAGCCCACCAACCAGCTCCCCAATAAAAACCTCCTCATTTGGCCAGGTTGTCAATTTACAAACAAACAGTTTCTCATGGTTTCGGGTGGTTCTTTAAAGTTTTCTTCTATTTGCAACTACCCCCCGGAAGTCCCAAAGCAGTGCAGTGAACAAAATGTCCCTGCCGCACTTTGCGCTGATCATCGCAGCCAGGATGCTGATGTAGGCATTACGTCCAAACTGAGTATCGGTGGCTCCCATTTGCTATTCATCATCTATATACCTCAATTATATACCACATCCCAGCCCTAGAGCATCATGTGTCCACAATTTTTCTCGCTACTTTAAAGCTTAAGAATCAGGATTGCTCATGCCTCAATCCCCAAAGACATCACTTTAAAATTGCCCTACATATAAGATTGCATTTCATCGAGATATGAATGCAATTTACTCAAGTTTAAATTTGATTTATGCTCCATATCCCATGAATATTCCGTGCATATCCCTATTAAAAAAATATTCCAAAAAAGCAATCCCTAATCAGGTAAATATTCCATACATTGATGTTTCATAAATGAACATTCCATCCATATCCTCTGGTGATTTAACATAGCTATCCAAAACGGTCAATTTAGTTTGATGATCTACCTATTAGAAACGGTGATTTTCCATATGTAACAAATTGCCAGAGGATATCATTGATTGGTAATACCCTATGAATTCCTGTGAAATCTTATTAAATCCTATCAAATCATATTATATAAATCATATTACTGGTTGGTGCTATACCTACCCCTCTGAAAAATATGAGTCAGTTGGGATGATGACATTCCCAATATATGGAAAGTCATAAAATTCCATGGTTCCAGTCACCACCAACCAGATCATCATCATATTCCCATTGTTGTTGGTATTATACCCTATTAACCACCATTAATATCACTACTTTCCAAACCACCAAACAGATTAAATCGCATGAAATCTCATGTTATAGATGGTTTACCTATTAAAAATGGTGATTTTCCATGGCTATGTTAAATAACCAAAGGGTAAATCATATGAAACTACCATAACCCTCCATTTTCCAGCTGTTCATCCCACCTGGCCGCATACTCCGCCGCCACCGAGCTCGCCGGCAGCAGCGCATAGACCACCGAGGCAGCGGCCGGGCGCAAGGCGAAGCGCGCGAAGCCGGGCCGACTGGTCCCGCGCCTTGCGGGAACACGTTAAAAAGAAGAAAAAGGTGTGAAATGATGTTGATATGTGTTGTTTAAATGCTTTATTGTTTTGGTGTATATCACGTTTGATCACAATTTTTAGGTACTATAATGGAACTAGTCATTTTCTTTTGGTTTGATCGGTGATTTTGGTTGCTTTTTCAATGTTATCACTTTATCACTATCATTGTTATTGATGCCAATTGTGCCCAATTGTTGTCATAATGATTGTATCGTTCTGCTACTTTACTCATTAATGACTACAATCATCATTGCCATGAATATCACTGTCATTAAGAAGATCATTCTTATGATTCATTTAGCTATTGACGATGTAATGGCGGTAAATAGGATCTATTGGGCTTAATTGGTACATGATGATGATTGTTATCAGTTACTATCATTGATGCTAGGGCACCCACAAATCAAAATGCTTTAGCATCAGCTTCCCGCATCTCTAAAAAAGCAAGAGCCGCTTATTGGAGGCCTGAACTATATCTTTTGGATATCAAAACAGTATATTCGGAGGTCCTAAAATGGGGATACCCCCGAATCATCGATTTTGTAGAATAGGATTTTCCAAAACTGTAAAAACCATCCATTTTGGGGTAACCCGCCATTTATGGAACCCCCCACTTAGGAGTTTGACATGGTTGAATTGGCTTTTTGCAAAAGACATCCACCTGAATGACAGGGGCTGGAGCTTGATGGGGTCCAATGGCTGGAGCTTCGTCAATCTGTCGCTATGGTTTCTCACACAATGCTTGGTTGGATCAAGTGCAATCCAAACATATCCTGGTTTGCTGTATGCAGCCTACTGTATTTGAGTGAATCAGCTTACGTTCCAATTTTGGCTTGTCACAACCTGCACCTTTTTGCTAGATTCGTACTTTGTGTTGGTCAAACTGTCATTTACGCATTATATCCCATATGGGTTTCAATCCTGCTACATGATGGCATTTACATCACCGCTTTGGTCATTCAAATGCCATTTTGTGTTGGTGAGATCAGTGTTTTTCGCGGGTAATATCTCCAAATTTCACTTGTTGCGCAGGCGTCCTCCTGGTTGACCAAGTAGTGGATTTGGCACCGCGAACGTGGCCGGACGCTGCCAGAACGTGCAAGCTGGAACCAGTCATGATCTGGGGGTCTAGGTCCTCTAATGTTCTCAGGTGGCTGGGAGCCTTTTCTCCTTGGCACTGATCGCGCTGCTTCCAGCGCAAAGAGCGCACCCCCCAAGCGGAGGGGACTCTCCATTGTGGTTTGTCAAACATCCAGTTCCAGTTGGCTGTTGCAACCCGTTCCAAAAATTATTACCAGAACTGGATGTTTGACATTGGTTTATATTATATAGGTTCATGTAGTCAATTTGGATCATGATCCCAAGTAAGGTGGAACATCAACCAAATGATTGAAACCACGGCCTTTTGTGGGCCAAATCCCAATTCCTTCCTGTGATTTTCCCTACATTCTGGGTGGTTTGACCCCACCTCAAAAATACTATATAGTCATCTCAAGCAATCATCCCAAGTATGATTGAAAAACAGCGAACATGAGACTATATAGTCATCTCAACCAATCATCCGAAGTCATACACAAGTACCATAGCTATCCATAGCTGGTAATTTCCCTAGTTATGTTCGTTTACCAATGGGTATACCTTTGAAACCACCAGTCTTGCTGCACAGAAGCTTCTCCGGCTCCATGGGGCTAATCAGCATTGCGCCCTGCATCCATGGAGGCACCTGCCAATGGGACATACCGCGGAAAGGAGCACTGTAGCTGACGTAACTTCCCTGGGCTGTTTGATTGGAGTGGTATCATTCGAGAAGCAAATGACATCACGAGTTGGGTGGGTATGTGCCCCTATACTTATATAGTCAGCCAGGGTTGAAATTAAGTGCCAGTCGGACCCAACAGGTCAGGTTGGCCCATCAAAAGCAAAATATGCAACCCTCAAGATCACAACTGGACTGAAGGAAAGTTTTCCAACTGGAGTGAAGGACAGTTTTACTGGATTGAAAGTCAGCTTTGCTAGATTGAAGGAAAGTTTCTAACCATTTTTACGTGCCTGGTTGGTGTTCTTCACTTGAAGTAAGGTGAACCCAACTAGGATCGCTATCAACCAACACAAAAGATCCGTCATGGTGACAAATTGAAGTCACTTGGGTTTCTTCAATATCAACCATGGATTCCAAGAACAAATACGTCTTTGAAACCAGCTTGAAGAAACACCCATGTCACAATCAGTTTCCCTGACCTTTTCAGGTGAAGGCAACGGATGGATAAAGCGAAAATTTGACCCTTTTTATTACGGGTTGCAACTGTAAATCTATGAACATTTCTCAAATATATCTTCGGTAATTAATCACATGGCGATGTATAAACCCCATCATTCATTCACAAATGATTTTCACATAAAATATACCCTCTGGTAAACAAACATAGCTATTGAACACGGCCATTTATAGTTGATTTACCCATTAAAAATGGTGATTTTCCATAGCTATGTTAGTTTACCAGAGGGTATATTAAAATGATTTAAAATGCCCATTTATAGCTCAGCCAGGTTTGACACCGGAGGGTCAACATCCACCAGGTGGCTTTCTCGCACCCTCCGCACCTCGACCAAGATCCCCTTGCTGCTGCTACGGCTCAACGGCACGCCCTCTTGCAGACTCAGCATCTCGATCTCTCGGAAGCCCTGGCATCGTCACCACTTTGGCTGTCAAGAAAGGGGCACCTGTCAACTCACAAAATTGGTAATGGTAAAAAAATAGAATACCATCTGGTTATTTGTGCCAGTTCGCCATGGAAAGATCCACCCATTTTTAAGAACGGTAAACCATCTATTTCGATTTGGGTCATTTTAAATAACCATGGCTATGTTAGTCATAACCAGAGGGTAATATATCACCATCCCATTGTTGGGAACGTAACGGAACCGCTGGCATTGCCTGGAAAAAGGATCCCATCAATCCTCTATAAATCACCTACAAATATCACTCACCAAGGTCACCAAGGCTATATCCACTTTAAGTTCAATATTCCAGATACATGATGATACATGCATAATGACTTTCATCAACAACCTATGTAAATTCATGTGTTTCTATAAATGCAACAGAAACCCCAAAAAATCCCAGATGATTTCCATTATTTCCCATACATTCATGATAAATCCATGCTAAATTCCTGCTAATGTTCCATCTTTTTGGGTAAATTCCCAGATCATTTCCATATTTCTCCCGGAAACATTCCCTTCTGGTTCTGGTTGGTGGTATACCTACCCCTCTGAAAAATATGAGCTCGTCAGTGGGAAGGATGACATCGCATATATGACATGGAAAATAGAATTGCATGGTTTGAAACCACCAACGAAATAACAATGGGAAAATCATGAACATGGTGGATCATAGTGGGAAAATCATGAACATAATCCCATCAAAAATAGTGGATAATAATGGGAAAATCATGACAATATGATAGGGATTTAATGGGGAAATCATGATACATCATATTTAAGTATGATTAAGTGTCATATCATAATATCCCTAGTAATCTGTAATAATCCCTTCTGTAAATTGACATAGACCCTGCCAAATAGGGGTTGGAAGACTAGTTTCCACTATAAATTTGCCATTTTCAGGGTCCAACTGTTAATTTACCAGGGGCTAATCCCTTCTGTAATAATCCATAATGCTGGGTAAATTATCATATTTCACTAACCTGAATCTTGCGGCCATGAATGGGGATGATTTCCCGAATCCTAACCATGAATAATTTACCCAGATAATGGGAAACATTCAACCACCAACCAGTGATTGTTAACCAGTATTAACCATCATTAACCATCATTAACCACCAAAAAAATGATTGAACCCATCAACCAGTGATTATTAACCAGTATTAACCATCATTAACCATCATTAACCACCCAAAAATCCATAATGGGAAACAGTCCCATAATGAATCCATGCCATGCCATCGCCTCATTGTGACAACTCACCTCCAAGGGTGCTGAGGATTGGGCCGTGACCGGTGTGACCTGGGCGCCGCGGTCAAGGCTTTGTCAAAGCGCCGGGGGAGCACTGAAGAAACGTCAAAAATATGGGAAATCAGCTGGTTTTAATGACTTTAAGGAATTTTCATATGGGACTTTAATGGATTTTGACGTGATTTTACTTTTTCCGAAGCATATTTCAACATAGTTGAGAGTTGTTGATGCATTTTCACCCGGGTTCTTGGTGGATTTGAATTTTCATAGAAATTTCATTGGATTTGAATGCCATTTTAAGGGTATGTTAGAATCAAATGGATCATAGGTGCATTGTGGATCTACTGGGATCTTTGATGGATTTGGCGGATTCTGGTGGATTGCAGTCATGGACTGCATAAACATACGGTATACAGTACATTGCATTGCATTCCAATGTATTGCATTGCACTGCGCTAATTGCATTGCATCACATGATGCTGCACTCATTTCATGTCACTATTGCATACAAACAATCACATATATATAATATATACATAATATACATAGAATATGTTCGAAACAACCGTCATCACAAAGACCATGTCAAGAAACCCCAGGGCTGAACCATGGCATGCACGGACTCACTGACAAGTTGCTTGATTCTAGATTTCTCCCCATTTGAGATCATTATCATTATCCTGCTTATAATACAAGACACCCAAAAATCAAGGTACCAAACATTTTCCTTTTCAAAAAAAATGGGAGATGAAAGATCCATTTGCCACCTACTCAATAGGAATTCCTGGATCCTAAAATGGAGGTACGTTAGTACCATATTTCTGGCCATATTTTGTGGGGATATTCCCTTACATATTATCAACTTTGCCACCTACTTTGGCCTTGCTTTGATCACCAGTCAAGACTCCACGACGCTGAAGACAGGCCCGTCATTTGGCGGAGCATGGCAGGGTGGCAAGGCTAAAGGCCAGCCACCAGGGCAGTACCTGACATGGCGCATTTCGTTCAATGACTTGCCTATCAAAAAACAAATGTTAGCTTTAAAGTACCACAGGGTATATGAAATCCGTGAAATCCCATGAAATCCCACCAAATCTCAGATATAAATCAATGCTACAACCTGTTTACCAAAGGCCAATGACCCCTCTGGTAATTTAACAGTTTGCTATTGAAGCCATGGCCATAGAAATTGTTGATTTACCTATCAAAAATTGTGGATTTTCCATAAACCATCCATTTATAGATGGATTTTCCATTGCAAAACCATCCAGCCATTTCTTCAATGGGATATTTGTGGGGATATTCCCTTACATAGGCCTAAAAAAAATGGTGGGTACCTCCAATAAATCGGATCCTCAAATTCCCATTGATTTATTTCAATGGGAATTTCAGATTTATTTCAATGGGAATTTCAGGATCCTAAAATGGAGGTACCTAGCATATATAAGGCCTATTTTTCAGGCCTATGTAAGCTTCAAACAAAATCAAAAAGCGACCCCGCTCCTGCTGTAAGTCCTCATCGTGGGCAGCTCATGCCATCGTGGCGCCGCCTCCTCCAGGTGCCAGGAACTTCCCAGGTCCTCCTCGGCTTAAAACCCCGTGGATTTCATGGGGATTTCCATAGGGATAGACCAAGGACCATGGAAAATGGTGATATCATAGGGAAATGCTAGGTGAACGACATGGGAAAATGGCTGGAAATGGAGGTTTTGAATGGAACATCGTCTACAAGTGAGGGCTATTGTTGGGTAACACAAAAATAAATGGTGGTATAAATCAACCATTTGTTGGGGTTCAACTAAGAAAAATCGTGGTACAATAGGGAAATAATAGAGATATAATAGGAATGTGATGATTTATTAATAACATATTATTGGAATATTGATGTTTGCGAGGTGGTACCCCCCAGTGATGTTTGTTGGTTTATAATCCCCATCAACTATAGAACCAACTTAGCTAACTATGGGGCACCACCCTCCAGGGTAATATAAGATATCGGGGTATGGTGTAATGCTCTTGCTAATGCTCTTGATACTGTATGTGATATAAATAGATATCTCTAGATATTATAGATGGTATATCATCATTGATATCTATGTATTGATACACTTATGTATTATATATGGGTATCATAAATATGACTCAACAAGAAGACTATATCTTCACTGAAATCCCATTGGATCCCATTCAATCGCCATAATTATCCCATTGTGATCCCATATCAAACCATATTATCCTATTAATATACCATTCGGAAAAGATATCCAATTATGGATCACTATCCCATGAATATCCTATGTCCCATTCACATGGCTTACTCCACTATTATCCACTATATACTCTATCCTCCTATCTCAATCCTATGAAAGCCATAACTATATATCCATTATCAATGGGATATGTTTACTCTATTTCTGGCATTATACATAATTGACTAAATCCCATTGATATCCTAGATTTCCCTACTATATCCCATTCTTAATGTCGATAAGAGAATATGGATTGATATCGAAATCCTTCTCGCGATGTGCACATCCTTCTTCGAAATTCTTGATCATCATTACAAATCAAATGGTCATCTTCGAACATATAATCCAAATCATCACTACAAATACTAATCATTACACATGTTCATCATTATGACATTATAATACATGATTTTTATTACAAAATCTTGATCTTCGAAATTTTGGAAAACAATTTTGTAGTGATTATCATGATTTCGATGATGGCATAATATAAATATATACCCTCCAGTAAATTAACATAGACCCCGCCAGATAGGGGTTGGAAGATTCGTGTCCATTAAAAATTGGTTATTTTCAGGGTCTATACCATTATTTTCCCATAATTGGATGATTATTATCTCATTATTGTCCCATTGTATCAGAATCCATCATATATCAAATCGTTATTGATCCATATTAATCCCATAATCTAATACTACTCCCACCAAATCACCATAGATTACCCCACGTTTGCTAAAATATCACCATCTAAACGATCAAAAAGAAATCTCAATCACAGTCCATCTCCAAAAAAATACCACTGGCTAGATTGCCACAATCCAATAAATATTGTTAATCCCATATGAATCCCATTTCAGTCTCAACAAATCACCATATCATCATTCTAATAAAAATGGGATTTCTTTTTGGACTAAAATGGAACTATATAATCTTGGTGGTTTCAACCCCTGAAAAATATGAGTTTGTCAGTTGGGATGATGACATTCCCAACAAAAATCCATGGTTCCAAACCACCAACCAGTAATAGTCATGGGGTATTAATCCTCATATAGATTACCCTGCCCTATGGTAAACGTTTACATAGCTATGGAAAATCACCATTTTCAATGGGAAAATCCACGATTTCTATGGTCATGTTCAATAGCAACCTGTTAAATTACCAGAGGGTATATATATATAAACCATCATTTAACCATCATTTAACAATCATTAACCATAGATTTACCATAGATGATTGTTAAATGATGGTTTATAATCTATGGGAAATTATAAACCATCGATTACCATAGATTTCCCCAGCTTTGTCGATCCCCCCGACTGGATCACCGAGGCGCCGCCCAGCTGCGCCGGACCTTTCCGTTGCCGTTGTCGCCGTTGTAACCGTGGCCGTTCACCTCGTGCCCGCCGTGCACCTCGTGCCCGCCGTGCCCGCCGCGGCGCTCGGTCAAAACGTAGACCGTGGAGGCCGAGTTGGGCCGGACCTTGGAAAAAGATGGGGAGGTCATCAGGAAAGTTAGATTTAATATGATTTAATATGATTTAATGGGATTTCGCTACAAAATCTGGGCAGCAACGTGGCCAAAATCGACCATGAAATGGGGTGGTAGCTGTAGCTGTGCGCGTGCGAGTCCATCCGCACGTTGCTTAATGGCTGTGGGATGGGATTTCAGTGGGATTCAATGGGAAACCAAAGGATTTAAATGGGATTTTCATCATGAACAAAATGAGATGACTGGGAATTAATTCCAATTAAACAATTAAATTCCCCTTTTCATCTTAAAGTCAATGGGATTTTTCATGAGAAATCATGGAACATTACTTGGAATTAATGGCATTTGACGAGACGGGATGTTTGCGTCCAAAGATATGAGATGTATTATAGCCCGTTTATGGACCCAAATGCATCCTGAGAAGGTACTTAGCCCTCCTTCCTCAGAAAGCACGACTGGATCCACAAGGATAGGATCATTTCACCGATTGGTGATTTTAACTGGTTAGCAACTAACACAAAAGAAGCTATTTGATGCTATTTCACCAACAACAATGGATAGTGACAATCGAACAAAAAATGGGGCCTGAAGTGAATTTGCAATATGGGTCATCATTTATGGTAGCTTTGAATTAAATTTCAATCTTTGAAACTGGCAACCTTTGGAGAGATCCTTGCGCCAACAAACTTGTGAAACCAGTTCCTACAAACATTGCAATGGTCACTCCACCATTCGTAGATGATTCACCTATAAGGGTCTGTCTAAAGATAGGGTACGCCATACAAATCCAATCTTGATGGGGGAAATGCGGTTTTTAAGTAATTAGATTTTGGGGTTGCCCTATGAAAAACCACCAAATGGCACATAGATCATAATCTTGTTTTTCCCTCTTAAATCATATTATCAAATATATAATTATGAATCACATATTAATGATACACATCCCAAAATCATAATGAATATTATATAATGATACAAATCTATACAAATCCCATGATTTCTACTATTTCTGCCCCACTATTTTGAAACAAACCCAGAGAAATTCATGAAACAGGCCAAGGCGCAGTGAGGACGCTACCCGTTGGGATATCCTTGAAGGGTTGCTGGAACAAAATCCCGTGCTTCAAATATTCCTTGCAGGTCGAAGGGTCGAAGCTCCAGCGGAAACTCAAAACAGGTCACCGAGCGGTCACCATTGGGAATCAGAGAGCAGCAAAAAGTGGAAAACTCAAGGTACAAAGGCTCGGTTTGGCACCATTCAAAAATCATGAAAAATAGACGATGTTCCCCACAAATAGCATCTTCTTGCATTATTGTGGCATTTTGCTATATCATCTATCCGCAGCCAAAAATATCCAACACTTTTGGTGCCAAGCGGCCGGCACGTCCAAATATTGATGGTCACGATCCACCCAAGCCATCACACCTCCGGCGCCGCAGTCTGGAATTTCCACAGCCCGTTGAACACCAAATACCAAATCCTTGATGTGAAAACATGTGAAAACCCAAGGTTTGTCACAGGGAACATCTGCTAACCATTACTGAAGTTGCTCAGTTTCGAAAGGACCAGAAATAAAACCAAAATCTCCACATGCTTCTTGGCACTGCTAAGCCAAAGTCAACATGACAATAGCCACCAGCATCCACCAGCGGCAATGTTTGACAGCGCTGCCCGGTGAAGGGCCTTCATCCATGATGGTCTTCCTGACTTCCAGCTCAGTATTGGAGGTCAATGTGACATTGAAACTGCCAGCCGTAAGGGGCACCACCACCGCCTGGAAACGACATGGGTGACGGGGGTGATGGGCCTCTGGAAAATGGATGAAAATGGGGGATATTGAATTATACCCAAGTCTTTACAAATTCAGAACTTGGAATTAGAGAGATCAGCTGCTAAATTTAAGGTTAGGAAGCCCTGATTTTTTTAACATTGGCAGGGAGCTGTTGGGTATTAAGATGATCATGCCACTTTGTGAGTGGATGGGAGCGCCAAGCCTTTTATAAATGGAAACCCAGTGGTTTACCATAGGTACTATCCCCACTAGTCATTCGACTGGGAGTTTCTTGCCTCACGATTCCTGGTGAGCCAGGTGACCATCTATCAAGAGCGTGGCTAACCTTCAGCCTAGAGGAAACACCCACCTAGCAGGATAACAAAACAACATTAGCATAGATTATACTGGTTGGTGGTTTCAATCCCTCTGAAAAATATGAGCTCATCAATGGGAAGGATGACATCCCATATATATCATATATTATGGAACATACAATTCATGTTTGAAACCACCAACCAGATGTTCATGAATTTCATGGCCACCAGGTGGTTTCCTAAGTCTACCGGGCTACCCCCATACCTCTCATCCATTCGATGCGGATGCCGAGCCGCGAATCCTCTCGGTGGCTCCCCTGGTGCGGAGGGAGCCAGAGATTTTCTGTCATGAACGGAAGAAAATGGGCTAGTTATAGTGTGTAATATTTGGTTAATTATTATGTATAATGTATATATATATATATATTGTATGATATGTAATGGCAATATAATGCATGTTCGTATTTCAGCATTAGTGATCGGAGTGATTACCATTCAAATTGCATTGTTTGTGGACCATGTCCCGTTTACCCCGATCCACAGCTTTCATCTAGTTGGACTCGAACACCATTTTTTGCGGGCGCCAGCAAGTTTTAGCCAGTCAATTGCTGCATCTCAATTTTTGAAGGTGGGCTTCATGAGAGTATATCAAAATTAAATGTCTCTGGTTGGTGGTTTCAACCCCTCTGAAAAATATGAAAGTCAGTTGGGATGATTATTCCCAACATATGGAAAGTCATAAAATTCCATGGTTCCAAACCACCAATCAGTTAAATGTCTGATTGTTCCATGATGTTCAATGCTGAATTTCTATGAATTCTCCCAAAATCATCCAAAATCTCGATCTTGAGACACTGAGCCATCGGTCAAACCGCCTGTGGGAACCACTTGAGGGAAGGAAAGGTTGGCACCTTTGGGTGCGAAGGTGCTAAACCTCGAGCGGCAACGGCAACGGCAGGCAAGGCTGGCGACACTGGGAAACGCTAAGAGATCAGATATCGATTTAATCTTTAATTAGTTTCTATTCATTTCAAGTATTCCTCAAAGATATTTCAGACCAAGTTCCATGGCTCGAGACCAAATGGGGGTACAACATGGTACACCCATGGGGTTACAACCAACAAACATGAGAAGCACTTCCAGTCACTAGATTGTCACTTCGCAGTTGGTTCATGACTGAGATGGTCTGTGCACCCATGGGATCGTCGACAAGAATTACTATACCAAGAATGACCAAGTCCAGTAAAACCAGGGGAAAAAATGAGCGCCTGGCTGGAGTTCCTGTGTATACATTATACGAAGTCTCCCAGTTGTGCTTTGGGGTAAAACTTGGATGTGTGGGACCCGTTGAATAGGTAATAACCATGTGGAATAAGCTGAAAAAATGAAGTGATACACCCCAGAAACACATGGCTTATATTACCACCTAACTGGAATGCACCCAAGTAGACAAGACATGAGGTTTGAACCTCCATCGCAGCTCTGTTCATAGGAGATTTCGCCAGCAAAATTGTGATTTATATAACGTATTATAACGTATCATAACGTAAATATATGTTTTGAAGAGGTATAACATGGTATAACAAACATAAATAGTGATTTGATGGAATTAAAATGAAGTGAATGAAAACCAACATGAAGCCTCACAATGGCTATGCAAATCGTTGAAATCATCTCAATCACCTTCCATCCACATTTTCCATGTCAAATTTTGAGCCTCAAATGGCTGGACCTGCAAAACCAAAAATGACCTTCATATGCCTCACCTCCTTGGACATTCCATGATACCCCATGATATTCTATGAATCAATGAAATATGTTGAAATTTAATATCATTCGCTTCACATCCCTTCACTGCTTAAACCATAATATTTGATCATATTCGTTGATTCAATGGTCCAAGACATGGTCCAATCCCGTTGCATTTCCACTGCCAGGTCAAGGCACATCAACAGTTCCGGTCTTTTCGGCTTTCTGCCTGCAGAGATGACCATAAGCACAGCTGAAGGTCGATGGGTAAGTGCTGGTAAGTGGTCAAACAAAGGTTATCTAGATTATGTAATATATATATATATTTATTTACATTTATATGAATATCAATCTATATCATTATATGCATAACACTTATATGAATATCAATCTATATAGTTAATTATGTATATATTTATATATATCCACCAAACATGCCATCAGTTGGAGTGCCACCACATGGTTGAGCATTGCTCAAAGTGGGATGGTCATCCCACCGCATCACCACAAAGTATCCAAATGCTAAATGGCTATCATAACCCAGCTAGTATCACCCCAAAAACCCAGGTAGTGTAAATCCCTATGATTAGCAATCACTGAGGTACCCTCTGGTATGGAAAATCACCATGCTATTAATGGGTAAATCAACTATAAATGGCAATTTTCAAAAGCTGTGTTTGTTGACCAGAGGGTATGCAAATGCTAAATGACTGGTTCGTGTTCCATACGTCTCTATCAATCACAACAAATTGTAGCAACGATAAAAAAAGGAATAGACCGGTTTGCAAAGCTGGAAAATATGAAGGACACATCATCTTCACTTAAATCTATACCATGCTGGAAATACGGTTCGGTAATTTTCCGGGGCTGATGGACATTTTATGGAAACTGGTTGGAAAGTTTGAACATGTTTGAAGTATCCAGTTATATAGAGATATATCTACCATAAGCCCTTGTTCTATACATGTGTACCAACATGGCATGTACAAACGGATAAATATGGTTATTGAATGTTCTTGACCACCTAATCCAAGTTATAGTTATGATTAGTTCTAATATAATTGGTAGTTATTACTGACTATGGTTATAAGTTATAACGATGGTTATTAGCTTATGATTAATGTCAACCCCGGATAAATAAACCATGGTACCCTCCCAATTCAACAGCCGTAAACGGGGTTTATTAATCCAGGGTTGAAATTATCCCATATCTATTGTCATTAACCCACTATAGTCAAATCCCATATATTCCCATATATTCCCATATATTCTAGTCTTGACATTATAACGGTTACAGATGATCCTCAAAGCCCTCCCCGCACCTTCCGCCGCTTTCTCCTGCCAGCTCGGAGAAGCCTCGGCCTCCGAGAGCCAGCGCTGGCCGTTGGCCAAGCAACTCGTCAAGGAGACGCCTGGCGAAAAACGTGGATAGTTGTGGTGCATCATGGTCCTTTGTGCTTGAGAGCTATGGTTAATAAAATGTTTTAAAAATATGTTAATTAATGGAATGTGGTTATACTAATAGATTTAATAGATGTAAACGTACACTACTATGGTAATGGGTGGTAATGAATGTAGTTATGGTGCGACTACAGTTGGATACTATATGATTATAAAATACTATAATATACTATAGTTATGGTTGTACAGTACTTATATATATATATATATGGTTGATAGTTTTTTGAGGCCCACCGTGCACACGCCACGGCAGAGGCCAGAGAGGTCAGTCATGAGTTTGCCTCCCGTTGCCTGAATATGGAAGTCTCGGCACACGGTGACGTAATCGGAAAGGATTACGCTGGCTGAACCCTCAAACATGTGTACGGTTCATTGCATTGGCCGCATCGAAAGATACTGTGTGCCAGTAGCAAAAAATGGTTGATAGGTACTGTTAAGAAATGTTCATAAATGGAATGGCTGCTAGTTACGGATACATACGGATATATGAAGGATTTTAATAGTGTCAACGTACTAGCTGCTTACTATTTATGGGTTAGAACATGTTAGAACGAATGGTTAAAGGTAATGACCAGTTGAGCAGAAAACAGCCATTTGGAAGATTACCAAAGCAATGGTTGGTCGATGAATATGCCATCTAATGAATCCCAAAAAGTCTTGACCATTTCAGGTAATGTGGTACAGCAAAACTCAAAACATAAACTAGAGCAGTTTTTGAAGGTACAGTAACAAACAGCAAAACCGATTCTCAACGTTTAGATAAAATATGATAAAATTGTATCTGGTGATACATGAAGATGATATATCCCATATGCTCCATGTATGGTATATTTACCTACAAAACTGGGTGATTTTAGGGCAAATGTTTGTATTCCAGCACCATGGAGCATATGGGCATAACTATAACATCATCACCTTCATTTCAGGTGTCGGTAATCAGCTCCCTGGTGTTGCCGAGCCCTTGCGGATCGTTGAATCCCAAGCTGGGCTGAATATCCCAAGGATTGCATCCCAGTTGCTGTCCCAAGGATCTATCTTGTTTTTTATCGGTCTAATAGTCTCTCTCTCTCTCTCTCTCTCCCTCCCTCCATCGCCATCAAGTCTAATAGTCTAATCTTCCCGTTGCCAAATCATGGCGCATTTCAGTATCTTAAATGGGTTTTACCCTCTGGGAATTTAACCGCTTGCTATTGAAAATGGCCCATTGATAGTTGATTTACCTATTAAAAGTGGTGATTTTCCATAGCAAACTGTCAGTTTACCAGAGGGCAACTGACACGAAATCAGCCACTTTCCAGGACCTCAAAAATCCCAAAAGCGCCTGTCTCGTTGCAGGGCGGGCTCTTGCCACTGGGCACCTCCATTACCACGTAGAGTCGCGCATCGTGCTGCAGCGACGTCACCTGGACATGGTGAGGGGTATGGATTAAAACATGGGGACACTAATATGTCTGTCAAAATAGTACATTTATAGTGAGTTTTCCCATTAAAAAGGTGACTTTCCATAGTTATGTTAGTTTACCAGAGGGTATTATCAATGATAGTATCATGATATCATGATTTGTACATGATAATTGGATTCTTATGGTCAAAATCTATCAATGATATCATAATAATCCAGTTGCTCAACATATACATATATATATATTATAACATCCAGCTATTTACAATATAATACTCAATTAAAACCATAATCCATAGGGTCCTTGGATCCATCGATCATGATTTCTGATGATTTTGACGACACTGATCTATATAAGTCACAACCTGGCTGCTTGTTCATGCACTTTATCACTGGTAGGTAGCCATGAAAGATGAGACTTCAATACTTCAATCATACCAAGGGCCACAAACAAATAAAGAAGAGACTCATCCGATGGCTTTTTTATCCACAGAGTTGTGGCCCATATGTGGCCACTGTGGCCACTGGACCGTACGGCGGATGGGGCCCCAATCGTGAGTGAGGTTGCGTCCCATGGATTGGAAAAAGTCAATGTAACATCCACTAATGATTTAGATATATGCGTGTCGAAAAAAATCTCGAAGTTGGGTACCCAACTTTAACCAATGGTTTATCATCAATTTCCCCGCTTCCTGAGGCTATCTGAGAGGTATGCCCTAGTATTTCCGAGACACCAGATGATCAGGTTCCTGGAAAAATTCTCGGAGGTGCCATGGTCACTCTCCATGGTAATTGTGGCATTGTCGCCCTATCATCATTAGGGATTCTTTCTGACTGTACTACAGTACCCTATTAGTGGACATTAATAGTGAAATAAAACTCCTTAATATGGATATGGACATATATGTTTATATCATCCAACGATAGTTCTATTAGTTGGTTGATCCCGTCATATATTCCCATTCCTATTCCATTGAATCCAAGTTTTTTAATAGATCTGGGCAAAATATAACAATCCACTGATCTGCTATTTTAGTCTATTTTGGGATAGTTACCCCATGTTACCCCTACTAACCATCATACCATCATTACAGTTAGATCGCAGTGAGGTCGTTATAATTTGCCAAGATGATTCTACAACTTAGAAAGTGGTGCTAAGTAAGTAGGGAATTTTCGGGAATGATCCACTGGCTAACTATCATTTTTATCATCCCAGAAACCCCCAGCAACCCATCCAGCAAGTGCAGTTCACCATGGCAACCATGGCAATCCAGGCGCTCTCCTCCCGTCCCGCCGTCGACGCCGTCCCGGTCGGACCTGAAATTGAGACCGCGAGCTGCCCAAGGCTCCTCAGGGTCCACTGGAATCCATGGGACTTCGCAATGGAAACGTGGGATTGACGGATGTTCGTTCTCGATGTTCGTCTCCCCCATACCCGGCCTGGTAAACATACAAAAAGCTACTGAAAATGGCCCAGTCGAAATAGTGGATTTACCCATCAAAAATGGTGATTTTTTATAGTTACGTTGGTTTACCGGAGGGTATAATGTGTCAGAATAACTGTTCTAGGTCTTGATTCATTCCCACCTAACAGCTGGAGATAGAAAAAGGCTAGAGCAGGTCATAGTTGACAATGCTCTGGTAAAAAGGATTGAAGCACTCTCTAAATCGAGGGATGAGCCATGGAGCAGGTCTTTGAGCTTGCTGTGAAAAAATGGGATGACCAGTGCACAGCGCCCCCTCAACATGCGTTGGGTTTTTTTGTACGTGCTGGCAACTATAGTGGCTTCAGAATGAATGATGACAGAACATCTGGATGATCTTGGGGCTGTAAACAAAATGGCCCATTCATAACAACATGCCATTCGAATCCCATCCATACCGATGAAACTCATAGAACCCATAAAACATCCGAAATTCATGTCGACCCTGGTTGAGACAAGGTGAGTCCCCCAATCATGTTTGTTGGTTTATAAACCCAATTCTCTATATAGTTCGATATATCTAGCATATCCCATATAAGAATCCAACTAGTTAGAATTATTTACCAACTTAGCTCTCACTCTCACACATTAAGCATGAATCATTAAATATAATGTTCACATGGCGTTAATAACCCCCCCCGCAATAAAGTACGCCAACTTCCGGTTCACAATAATAAAACCCCCCCGCAATAAAGTACGCCAACTTTTTTTTTCCCGTTTTTTCCCTTTAGTATTCGTTTTCAATTAGGCAATTCATTTGGGAATACATAGGTGTTTTTTTTGGAGGGAAAGTTCCCTTATGTATTCGTTTTCAATTAGGCAATTCATTTGGGAATACATAGGTTATTTTTTTTTGGAGGGAAAGTTCCCTTGTGTATTTGTTTTCAATTAGGCAATTCATTTGGGAATACATAGGTGATTTTATTTTTTAGAGGGAAAGTTCCCTTATGTATTCGTTTTCAATTAGGCAATTCATTTGGGAATACAAAGGTGATTTGTTTTTTTGGAAAAGTTCTGGGGTGCAAAAAAATCAACAAGGCTCAAATGGTCGATTTCCTTACTAAACCCTTTCAAAAAATGCCAAAAAACAATCGCGCAAAGGGGGTAGCCTTGAAGTCCCCTGACATCAAAATAATAATGTATGTTTGCACACCCCTAAATAAAGTATTTGGATTTCAGGGTTCTAAAATTTTGGTGGTTAATTAAATTTGTTTCTCAATTCCTTTCCTAGTTGAACCCTTTCTCAAACCCTTTCTGAAGCCCTCAAGACTCTTTGAGCTGGAAGCAGTAAACTCCAAACTCCAAATCTTGCCTGAAAAGTTCTGGAGTGCAAAAAAATCAACAAGGCTCAAATGGTCGATTTCCTTACTAAACCCTTTCAAAAAATGCCAAAAAACAATCGCACAAAGGGGGTAGCCTTGAAGTCCCCTGACATCAAAATAATAATGTATGTTTGCACACCCCTAAATAAAGTATTTGGATTTCAGGGTTCAAAAATTTTGGTGGTTAATTCAATTTTTTCTCAATTCCTTTCCTAGTTGAACCCTTTCTCAAACCCTTTCTGAAGCCCTCAAGACTCTTTGAGCTGGAAGCAGTAAACTCAAAACTCCATATCTTGCCTGAAAAGTTCTGGAGTGCAAAAAAATCAACAAGGCTCAAATGGTCGATTTCCTTACTAAACCCTTTCCTTACTAAACCCTTTCAAGAAAGTTCACTTTATGTATTCGTTTTCAATTAGGCAATTCATTTGTGAATACTAAAGTTCCAAGAAAGTTCACTTATGTATTCGTTTTCAATTAGGCAATTCATTTGGGAATACTAAAAGTTCCCTTTATGTAAATTAGGCAATTCATTTGTGAATACTAAAGTTCCAAGAAAGTTCACTGTATGTATTCGTTTTCAATTAGGCAATTCATTTGGGAATACATAGGTGGTTTTTTGTTTTTTTGGAAAGTTCCCTTTATGTAATCGTTTTCAATTAGGCAATTCATTTGGGAATACATACGTGTTTTTTTTGGGGGGGGAAGTTCCCTTATGTATTCGTTTTCAATTAGGCAATTCATTTGGGAATACATAGATGTTTTTTTTTTGGAAAGTTCTCTTATGTATTCGTTTTCAATTAGGCAATTCATTTGGGAATACATAGGTGATTTTTACGATAGTTGAATGTTTGGCCCTAGCTTTATTCTGATGCTCTTAATGTTTGGGGGGAGGGGGGGGTTTATTAATACGATGTTGACATTAAATCCAATTAAACCTCCATTTTTGGTGGCACCCCCATCTTACCTAGTACAAGGTGGTGCCCCATAGCTAAGTATACTAAGTGGGCTTACAACTCGAATAACTAGGGTCTATGATACATATACAGTATCTACAGTTAATGGTGATTCTAAAACCAACAACAATTAGCACCTTGTGAACATCAATATCCCATGATATCTCTATTAAATCCGATTATATCTCTATTATATCCGCATCATATCCCTATTATATCCCATTATCAGTCCATAATTATACTAATCCATTGGCTCCTACTATGGTATAAAACCTATTTTATTTCAATTTTAAATGGCCCTCATATCCCAACTAATTACATCCCTATCAATTTTGCAAAGATGGATGTCCAAGTTTATCCCCATTAAATGCTATATCCCCAGTATTTCCCTAGAATTCCCCTATGTCAAAAAACACAAAATTTTTGCTGCTGTTCAATCCGTCATCAAAGCACCAGAGGTGCTTAACCCATGAAAAAGTCTTATAAAACCTATTGACCCATTATATTCCTATTATATTCCGACTATACCACCAAGTATACCATGGGTCAAGTTAATATTATACTTATACAATATATTATAGGAACCTATTCTATATCCCAAGTATACCACCAATTTTGTTGGTTCAATCCACTTGTCATCCACTGCTCCCCATCCACTGCTCCTTCGGGGCAGCGCAGCAGCGACCCGCCCAAGAAGTGCGGTGGAAGCTCCGTCAGCGTGGCGCCAGAGTTGCAGCGAACCTGGCGCCATGGCGGAGTTCATGTTACCCTATGGTTATGGTTTACCCTATGGGATACCATAGAAAAATTGTGATTTAATGGCTAACAATGGTGAATAATGGGATGATCATGGGATATACCCAACCTGGTTATGACTAGCAGTTTGCCATGGTTTTTTTATGGCCCTAATCGGAATAGATGGTTTACCAAACTTAAAAATGGGTGGATCTTTCCATGGCTATGGCACAAATAGCCAGAGGGTAACGTTATCGTTTTTCTTGGGGATTCAATTGGGATTCAATGATACGTTTTCAGTTTTCATCTCAACAATATGATTATGGAAAAATCACGGCATTATAGTTTTAATGAGAGTTGGTGGGATTGGTTGGGATGTAAAGTTAGGATATTCTTGACACATCATATGATGGGCTCGTCTGAAAATGGAGTATGTCTCCAAAGAACATGTTTTACCAATGATTGAGCAGTGGACGGAATGGGGGTGCCCTATGTTGAGACAAACCCATATGCATATTGATTACTTTTTGCGGTAAATAGCCGTTTGAGCCATGCAAGAACCATTAATGCGAGATGCAAGAACATTGCTCAACGGCGCCGTCCAACCCTACTTGATTCTACTTGAAAAACGATGACAAGTTTTGAGCCAAGCAAATGGGTGAGGCTGTTCTCATAGGCCTTAGTCATGCCTAATATCCACTGTCTCACCCATGAGCAAATGAATGATTTCATCACGGGCAATACTACCAATCAAAACCACGTCCCTTCAGTTCAATGATGTCCCGGTAAGAAACAGGGGCCGGTGATTGGTAGACAAAGCAGTGTTGCCAGGCCTAAAACTAATCCTTCCGAAAATCCTGGGGGTGTTTAATCCTTTTATTCTGTAATCTGGGCGAATGCAAAGTGCATACACATCAAATCAATGCTCCCTTTTTGCTGATGATCCAAATCATTTTACCCTCTGGTAAACTAACAGTTTGCTATTGAAAATGGCCCAGTCGAAATAGTGGATTTACCCATTAATAGCATGGTGATTTTCCATAGTTAAGTAAACGCTTACCAGGCCGGGTAACAGATTTTGCCCAAATCCCAGTCACCTCCAGTCACGGTGGATGGCAATCAAGTCTCCCACCTTGAGGCCCCAGTCCACATCGTCCCAAATTCGCATGCCTTCCTCCACCGGCACCTGAGGTGACTCAGGTGGATCCCATCCTGCGACTTGGGAGCCACAGAAAAATGACCTTCAAATCAGCTTCCAAAGGATCTTAGATACCCTGCAAACACTTGGTTAACTGGTTGCATCATATACATTCTCATAGCCAAAGAGTAAAATCATCCCTTTCCCTTAATCTAAAGTACCACCCTATAAATCCCATGTGTTGGAATATCTTGGGGGGACATTTAATGTCAGGGGGAGGGGATTACTACAATATCCACCTAAGGATGACATGGATGAGATGGATGACTCAGTTCAGCTTAACCCTTCACCCGAACAAATCGCCACGAGCCGCCACTCAATTTCGCCACAGAACCACAGGGACGTTGATGGAACTGCCAGTGGCGCCGATGAATGTGGCCGCAGCCTAAGGTTCCAAGAGATGCGCGCCTGATGATCCATGATGAGTAAAATTAGCTTTATTTGAAACTAGGGCACCCCCAATTCCACTGTTTTGATCAGGATCAGCACCATTAAATCAGCATTTCCGGGGCATGCCCCATCTTCATCCAATTTTCCTATGGCAACACAGAAACCCCAGTGAAACCTAGCTGCAGCTGACCGCTATGCTTCACACAATGTCTCCACACAGCAGCGTGCCATACCACTTGGGTACGCCGCCGCCGTACTGGTTCTCCATATCTTTGCACCGAGCCCCGACAGGTGCTGATGCGGCAATTTGGAGTAGCCGCATATGGAAGGCTCACCCTTCTTTCCTCTCTTCGAACGGCACAGTCTGCAGGACATTGCCTTCTTCACATAGAACCACTGCAAACGTGTACATTTTTTGTAGCTGGTCCCAAAGGCACAATCGAAGCAACCATGCATGGCATCAGCAGGTTTTGAAGAAACAACAAGAGAGAGAAAGAGAGAGAGAGAGAGATAGATAGATGGATAGAAAGATAGATAGAAAGACAGATAGATAGATAGATAGATAGATTAGATAGATAGACTAATTAGATAGATTCATTAGATAGATGAATTAGATAGATTAATTAGATAGATTAATTAGATAGATTAGATAGATTAGATAGATTAGATAGATTAGATAGTGATTAGATAGATTAGACAGATTAGATAGTGATTAGATAGATTAGATAGATTAGATCGATTAGATCGATTAGATCGATTAGATCGATTAGATCGATTAGATCGATTAGATCGATTAGATAGATTAGATAGATTAGATAGGTAGGGTAAGATAGATAGGGTAAGATTAGATAGATAGGATAAGATTAGATAGATAGGATTAGATAGATAGGACTTGAGAGGGGGGGGACGAAAGGTAGGGGGGGGAAAGACAGGAGGGAGAGGCAAGAGAAGGTGCGACTGTTTGTAACGCAAGCACGCCGACGACGACGACGACGACTACTACTACGACTACTACTACTATGACGACTACTACTACTATGACGACTACTACTACCACTACTACTACTACTGCTACTACTACCACCACTACTACTACTACTACCACTACCACTACCACTACCACTACTACTACTACTCCTACTACTACTCCTACCACTACTACTACTACTACTACTACTACTACTACCACGACCACTACCAACTACGACCATACCACTACCACTACCACTACCACTACCACGACCACTACTACTACTACTACTACTACTACTACTACTATCTACTAAGTTACTACTTCCTAGTTTACTATTTACTACTTACTACTTACTACGTACTACGGTGCGACTACTTACTACTTACTACTTACTAGTTTACTACTTACTACTTACTACTTACTACTTACTACTAACTACTAACTACTAACTACTAACTACTAACTACTAACTACTAACTACTAACTACTAACTACTAACTACTAACTACTTACTACTTACTACTTACTACTTACTACTTACTACTAACTACTAACTACTAACTACTAACTACTAACTACTAACTACTAACTACTAACTACTAACTACTAACTACTAACTACCAACTACTAACTACCTACTACTAACTACCTACTACTAACTACCTACTACTAACTACCTACTACTAACTACCTACTACTAACTACCTACTACTAACTACCTACTACTAACTACCTACTACTAACTACCTACTACTAACTACCTACTACTAACTACCTAACTACTAACTACCTACTACTACTACTACTACTACTACTACTACTACTACTACTACTACTACTACTACTACT